GGTACGTGCGTTGGGCATACATAGTGTAAGCTAGGAGTACGTGGTAAGATCCCAAACCCTAATTTTTAGGGTTCAGGCCCTATTTAAACATCTTTATAGAATCCAAAATCTCTTCTCTCATCATCCCCATTCGACCTTAGGAAACCTTTATCCCTTTTTTAAGCATTCTTGACCTTTGGTGTGCATTTTGGTGACCTTGAAAGAGAAAAGAGGAAGTTAAGTCAAATTGGAAGCTTGAAGAAGCTTTGGATCTAGAATCCTTAACTACCTAACAACCTCTAAGAGGTATAAAGTTCTAAACCTGGCTTGTATTTCTTTACATCTTGTTAGTTCTTGATTCATGAATCATTTTTGTTCCAAGTCTTGAAATTTGTGAGTTTGGCATGCTCTAGCCCATATAATTCATCCATTAAGATGTTTTGAGATGTCTTTAAGCATAAAAATATGATCTTAGCTCTTAGTTCTTCCCCATGCATGTGCTAGGATGTCCTAATAGATTACAAAGTTAGGGTTTGTTGGTGTTAAGCACTTCTAGCCATGCAAAGTCATAAAATTGGAAACTTTATGTCTTATAATGTTATTTTGGGCTTAGATCTGGATTTGGACATAAGGATTTGATGTATTAAGCACTTAATAAGAAGTTGAGGTGACCATGTGCATATGTTGGGCGTACCAAATGCTACGCTACGTGTACATGGTCAAACCCTCGACTTCTTGGTCAAGGGGAGTACGCCCCGTGTTCAACTTGGAACGCCTAGCAACCTCAGCACGGTTGACTCGACTGGTCTGTGATTATAACCTTGTTTCCAAGGTTGACCTAAGAGTAGTTTGGGCATTTTAGGTATTTTGGGGTTTTTAACTAAGCTTAAAGTCCTGGTTTCGTTTAGGTGATTGGTAGAGTTGGTGTTGGAGTTGTACTCGGTGTTGTGTACTTTTCTGCTACTCGTCATACTGAGAGATGAGTTTTCCTTCCTGTACCCATGGGTCAAAGGCGCCAATGCCGCTTTCTGCAGAAGGGCAATACACCCGGGGCGGTCCCGCTTTGTGCTGAAGGGCGATACACCTGGAGTGGTCCATATAGGCTGTAGGCCCTACGAGGAGGTGTCCAGTTAGGCCGAAGGCTTGTAAAGTGGTCCATATAGGTTGTAGGCCTTGCGAGGCGGACCAGTCAGGTTGAAGGCTCATGTTTGTATGCTTTTATTTGTTATGTTGTGTAGTTGTACTTCGGGGGAACTCATTAAGCTTTGGCTTAAATTTTTAGTTCATTTTTTAGGTACTTCAGAGGATCGTGGGAAAGTGAAGTCATGATCATGCACATCTTCTTGTTTTATGACATTGGATCTTAGGAAACTTTGATTTTGAATAATATTTTTGAAACAATGGTTTTGTAAACACTTTATGGATGACATGAGTTGTTTTTCAAAAATTTAAATTTCTATGATTTTTGAGTTGTTACAAATTTTCAAAAGAGTAAATTACTGAAATCGTCCCTGTGGTTTGCTCAAAATTGCATGTTTGGTCCCTAACGTTTTTTGCACTCGGATCATCCCCGTGGTTTGATTTTGTTGCGTTTTTCGTCCCTGTGGTTTGATTTTGTTGCATTTTTCGTCCCTTAGATACATAAAGTTAGGGACCAAACATGCAACTTTTACCAAAACATAGGGACAAAACACGCAACAAAATCAAACCATAGAGACGATCTGAGTGCAAAAACAAAGTTAGGGACCAAACATGCAATTTTGACCAAACCACAGGGACGATTTTAGTAATTTACTCTTTTCAAAAAGAAAATGAATGTTAATGGAACTATTGACAAGTTGAAAGCCTGGATAGTCATTCAAGGTTTTAGACAAAAACCAAGTGTTGACTATTTTGATACGTATGCTCGGTTGCTCGTATTTATACTATTAGATTGTCGATTACCTTGGGAAGTATCCACAATCTGTTTATTCATCAAATGGTTGTGAAAACAGCCTTTTCGAATGGTGAACTTGATGATGAAGTTTACATGAAACAACCAGAAGGTTTTATAATGCCCGGTAAAGAGTATATGGTTTGTAAAGTTGTCAAATCTTTGTATTGGCTGAAAAAAATGCCTAAAAAATGGTATCAAAAGTTTGATGAGATTATTTTGTCCTCAGGTTTCAAGATTAACTAATGTTACAATTGTTTTTATAGTAGATTTAATGATGTTACTAGTGCATGAGTGATCATTTGCTTATATGTAGATGACATGTTGATTTTCGGTGTCAACCAAAATCAAGTAGATGAGGCAAAGAAATTGTTATATTTTAAGTTTTCCATGAAAGATTTGGGAGAGACTGATATATTCTTGGAATAAGAACTAAAAGGATGAATAAAGGCTTGGTAATGACTCAAAGTTATTATATTGAGAAAATTCTCAAGCGGTTTAATTTTACCGATTGTTCTCCTATGAGCGCTCCTATGGATCTAAGTGTAAATTGATGGACAACACAGGAACTCCTATTTCACAATCGCGATACTCTAAAGCCATTGGTAGTTTGATGTATGCAATGGCAAGTATCAGGACATATATTGATTTTATTGTAGGGAAATTGAGCAGGTACATGAAAATCCTAATGCTCAACATTGGCAAACAGTGAATAGAGTGTTTAAGTATCTCAATGGAACTATGGATTATGGCTTGAGTTACTTACTTACTTGGTACATCCTTCGGTTTAGGAAGCACATTCAGATGCAAGTTGGATAACCAACGTGGATGATCATTCCTCAACGACTGGTTGGGTATTCTTGTTTGGGGGATGTGTCATATCCTAGGCTTCCAAGAAGCAAACTTGCATTACAAACTTTACACGGGAATATGAGTTTGTTGCGTTATATTATGTTAGTAAAGAAGATGGTTAAGGAACTTAGTTTATGAGATTCCTTTTTTCATCTAAACCGATAGAAACTATTTCCATCCGTTGTGATAAAGATGTCACGTTGGGCAGGGCTTATACTCAAGTGTGTAATGGCAAGTGTCGACACTTAGGTGTGTGACACACCATGGTTAGAGAAAAAATCATTAATGGTGTAACTTCGGTTGATTTTGTGAAATCGCAACATAATTTGGCAGTTCATTTGACTAAGGGTTTGTCAAGAGACTTAGTGCGCAAGTCTGCGATTGGGATGAGATTAAAGTCCATTTGAATTTTTTAAAGGTGAGACACCCAATTCCCTTCTAATATGACATCAGGAGCTGAGTTCAATGTGGAAAGCTCACACTTATAGATTGCAACATATTAAGTACACATCCAAGGTAATGTGTTTGGTTCTGCACTTGACCAGCTTGAATTTTAACTTCTTAATAATTCATTTGATTAAATGTATGTGCAGATATATGGAAATGAATTGTCTATGTGATTGTGAAGTGTTGCTGTATTACCAGAGGTTGTGGACTTGGCCTTTATACGATCATGAAAGGATTAGGACACACAAATTAATAACAATGTCAAGTTGTATTTTGCTAGAAAATTCAATAAGCTAGTATGTATTTTACTTTGAGGAATTCAAATGGGTTGATGGGTTCAATTCTTAGAATACCCTGATTCTCGAATATTTACTAAATGAAAATGCAATCGTTGCGACATTTTCATTTATATACTAGTTTGGTTTGTTTTGATAATGTTATGTTTGTTCATGGTTACACTAAAATTCGGGAGAATTGTTGGTGATTTTAGTGTGAGCATGACATTTTGTTTAATTGGAACACACATGTGAGCTAAGGGGGTTCGTAATTTGTACTTTAATATATGTTTGGGTATCTAAGGAGTGCACCCATGTATAAGATCGAACAAGGAGACTGTTCGATGACAAATCGGAGGTCCAGGGGCAACGCCCCCAGGTTTGGGGTTTCCAAAGGGGTAGTGCCCATTTGACGGGGTCTAGGGGCAGCGTCCCTAGCGGAGTCCAAGGGGTAGAGCCCCTGGTTGGGGCCCCACTAGCTTGTTTCCAAAGGAACCCATGGTCAACTCTAAAACGAAACTCTACGTATCATTTTCTGTTTAAACAACTCTCCTTTTAAGGAGAAAATATCACCTCTTAGCTCTCGTTTTTCTTCATACAAACTTAGAATCCTTTAGCGAATTGCCTTACGTTTTCTGTGCCTAAATTCATAAGTGTCCCCTTGGGATTATCCTAAGTTGAATTTCATGTAACCCGAACATAAGGTAAAAATATCAGTTCGAAAGTATTTACACGATCTAAAGGGTATCTAAATCTCCGTTGTAAACTCTACTCCTTTATCTAACAAAACATGAGATTTTGAAAGACGGGATTAAAATAAAGTTATAGACATGTCATCATATACACTAACACTAATGTTCTAGAAACATGTGAAGAACTCATTGGCACTGAAGAAGGAAATGAAAATTACGCAAGCATATATATGCCACCCTTGGCAAATTAGTATTTTACAATGTCAACTATCATTGCTAGAATTTCTTTCTGGAAACTTTGTTTCAATGATATCTTTATGTTTAGCAACATATGTTACGTTATGAAACAATATCTAAATTTTAAATATTAATGGCATACTAAAGTTTTTATGTTAATGTTATGAAAGAAAACCGCCAAAAGAAGACCAGGCAGAATAAAGATCGAAATTTAACATATTTTGGAGCTAAATAATTTTGTGAGGTCCGACGATTGCACAGACCATCAAACCAAATTAGTCTAGCAATAAACCGACTCTAAAAACGACAAGACAGAAAAATGACCATTCGATACTAGTTTGCCAAAGGCTAAAGAAAAGAGAGTATCCTAGACCAGTTTGCTAAAGAACGAAAAAAACATATTATGATAGAGCAATTCAAGACCGAAAGGAGACAAATATTGTTCAGCTATAAAAGCTAAGTATGAACGTTATTTTTAGTTCAATCATTTTTTTATTAAAAAAAGATGTAGTACACACGTTGGAATTAAGATTTAAAAAGAATATATATAGTCTTGTACCTCATGTAGAAGATGTTGTGCTTTCTCATTTGTAATCATGTCACCATAAATCTATCAAGCCAAATATTAAACAATTATTTGACACCTTCAATGCCTTTAAATACATAGCAATAACTCCTGTAATAAATGCTCTTGTTCAACTGAAAGAAGACATAGGCACTAACTTTGAGCTTTTGCTTTTTAATCAAAAAAAATGGAAGAGGGGAGAGTCGGTTTCATACAAGAATCTTTGAGGGGTTTTCTTAAGTGTTTAGGGTTAGAGAGTGGAGGAGGAAAAGACCCTGCTCCCGTTGAAGGAGAGATTCTGGATAACCCTCCACCACCACAACCACCAGTTAATCCGACAGCACAAACCACTTATGAATCCCTACCCTCTGTAGATGATCCATCTACCACCGATCCACTCGTTGAAGCTCTGACGTCATCTGTAAGTAACTTCCAAATAAGTTTATCTGCTATAATTACGCTCTCAAGCGCTTCTCTTGCGGATATATATTGTTCCCTTCATTTAGTTAACTGAAGATTCCAGTGGTGTTGTTTTCAGTATAGAAGTACTTAAGTTGAGTCTCGTTCTCTAAAAAAATTAGATCGTGTTACACCTAAATCCGTATATGAATTGAACTTAAAATCAATTACCAAACTAGTTAGGCGTATAAAGTAATATATATAAACCCGCTGACTTTATAAAAAAAGTCGATCCTTTACCTCTAATTTGGGATGTTCAAGAATATTCATCCATTATGATGTTTAATTTATCATTTTTGCATCTGTTTTTATTTTCTTTTAGTACTTTTCTATCGAGTGAGCTCATTATACTCAGGATATGTTGTTGACATCTTATGACGAACTAATTTAATTTGTCGTGAAAATAAGGTGGTCATCTAGAGACATGAATTGATTTTTTGTCTATTAAATTACGTTTTAATCTCTGGCGTCTTAATTAAGTTTTGTTGTTATAGTAATACATTAATTCTGTGTTAATTACCATCAGATTGAGAAGCCTTTAGTGTCGACAAGGGATATTGGTGGTGATGAGAGTAATTTCAGTATGGTTACTATAGATGAAATTATGAACACAAGTGGTGGCACAACCGCTGAAGCACATTATGTTGAGCTAATGGACAATGGTACAACCAATATGAGCCTCCTTACTACTCGTCTAATTAGCAGCGGGGGTGGAGGAAAAAACCATTAAAGCATCAAAACCACCAAAAAACAACGATGGTGACATGCCGTGGTGATGCATGGTAAGACCAATATATTATATATGGCCACTAATAAATTACAGTACGTTTGTTGGTCTTGTGATCATCAGTCATTTCACATCATCACATGTATATGTATGTCCAGGTTATAATATGGTTTCTTTTTCGTATGTGTGTTTTGGTACTATTCATGTCTTTATATTCTGGTTTGTAAACTTTGGTAGCTAATGTAAATTTAATATTCTTAATTTTGATTGTGTAGATATCCAAATAAAAGATAATAAACTGGTGATGATAGTGTGGTTACATATTTTTTGCATGATAGTTATATGTACATTTTCATCCAAAATGGCAAATATATATAACCGTATTAAAAAACAAAATTACACAAATGGTCATTGTCACTGGCGCCAGAAAGTACCACTACAAATAATTTTAAGGAGTTTTTAATATAGTTGGTAAGAATGGATCTTAGTGATCCGAAGAAAATGAGTCATCGAGTGCGTTTTAAACCTAAAAAAACCAATTATGTTAAAAAAAATTCAAAATGACTTGCAACATTATTTTCTATCAGCCACAAGAACCATTTATGTAAGTTTGTCTAAGGCGGGTAGGTACGGGTAACACGAGTACGCGTTATTCCGACGTGGCAAACTAAAAACGGCATTATAACACGCCGAACACCGTGCCCACCTTGCGTTGTTAGCCGTTACAGTATAAGGCGTTACGATGGTAACGCTTGACAACGGGAGGATTTCTACGCAAATTAACTCCAACGGATATATTTTTGATTTTTCAACCGTTGTAAAACGGTAAAAAAAAATAAAAAAAAATAATAATAATAGATTTTCATTCTTTTTACAACTATATATATATATACATATAGATCAACATTTATCTTTTATACAATCCTTTTTACTTTCAAATCTTCAAAAAAAAATTGCCTACTATAGATCAAAACCCCAACATTCATGATCCAACGAAATCGCGCGTAAAAGATATGATTTGCAACAGGAACATTTTGAGTTCTTGCGTAGTGAAGCCGAGGACGATCGTATTACGAAAGATTTGACAATTCTTCAAACTAGCGAGGATAATTTGCCACCGAGACGGTTGGAGACACTCCGAGAAATGAAGGCGGAGATTGAGCAGAAATATTTAGACGAAGATTAGTGTTTTTTTTTGTTGTAATGTTTTTTTCTTTTTGTTTTTTCTTTCGGACTATTTTTTTCGTTGAAATGTCGTTTTATGTTTTTTCGTTGTAATGTATTTTTTAATTAGTATTTAATTTAATTATGTGTTATTTAATTTATATGTTTTTTAAAAATTATTATGACATAAATTAAAAAAATAATAATAAAACAAAATAGAAAAATAGGAATTACAAACATCAAAAAAATTAAAAAATAAAATAGAAAATAAATTGTGTTATTACATGTTATTTAGTGTTGTCCATTTTCACATTTAATATTATAACACTCATTTATGGCTAGGATGATAACGTGACACCCTTTGGATGTGGTAACATGTAATAACATGTTGCCCACACCCAGCAACCTAAGGAAAATTAGAATATACGAGGTCATATGAATAATTATACGCTAGAAACTAAAACTCTGAGAAAGAAAACTATATATTAACCCAGACCACTACACTAAGGTCATCCACATCAGTGTAATGTCATTTATCTTTCGATTGTGCCACATTAGCTTTGCAATATTACTCACATCAGTACAATAACACTCATCTTTCAAAAGTAGTCCCTACTGCCACATCAACAATTATTATATATATATATATATATATATATATATATATATATATATATATATATATATATATATATATATATATATTCAATAATAAATTAACATAAATGTAATTATTATAATACTAATTTTTTCTTTAAAATGGTCCCACTAAAAACTAAAAAATGTTTTATATATCTTAAAATATATATTTGTGTGTAGGGCATTAGAAATAATATGAATATATAATAAAAAAAGAATAAGCCCTATACTTGCAAGTCTTTCTAAACTTGCAAGATAACATCGGCAATGAAAACCCATTTGCAAGACCAATTGCCAGACGGGTGTGAATGCTCTAAGCAGATAAACCAAACGCAGAAACTAATACAAGATGAAACAACTGAGCAATAAACTAAAATGAAATTGCTACTACAAATCAAGGGACCAATAGACTATATAGCTAGTTTTGTAATGGATAATATAATCCAGTATTAGCTTTATTGCAACCATGCCTATGCAGGAGAATCCCATACTAGTTGTATTTGTATGTGACGGATTTTTTTTGTTAATAAAAAAAATAAAAAATAAATAAAAAAAAAAAGACATAAAAGGATAATCCATGTGAAATTCTAAAAGAACGGTTATGCAATCATTTCATTAGGCCATCTGGTGTACATTTGACGTTGAACCACAATCACCATAAGGAACCACGAATCAATGTTGGTGTGCATACGACAACCACGAACGAATCAGTGTTCGTGCTCCCCACCATAATTCTCCACAACAACGACCCATCATGAACCGGCAAGATAGTATGCATGACCGTGGTTCATGGCCACCTAAACCACGTTCGTGCTATGTATTGTGGAAGGTCTTAGGTAAATATGTTTATTATGATTTGCTATAGCAGTTTTATCAGCTAACTCTTTTTTTTTTTTTTTAAATTGGCCACAAGTTTTAATTTAATAAGAGTTTGACAACTTGTTTTACAAATTTTCCCAACTTTTTTTAAAAAAAATTTGAATGACTAATTGTTTTTACATGTATTTTTACAACTTCGATTTTACATAGGTTTTTTTTTTTTTTTTTTTTTTTTTTTTTTTTTTTTACAATTCTGCTTTTACATGTTCTTTTACAACTTTTACTTCTGGGTTTCGGTTGTGTTTTTTCACTTACCTAATTTACAACTTCATTTTACACAACATTGCTTTAAACGTTCTTTAATTTGCTTTATAATTTTTCCTTCCAACTTATTCTTTTTACAACTTCGTTGTAAATTTATTTTAAGATTACAAGATCCTATATTATTTTAATATTGTAATTATAATTATAATTTCTAATAAATAAATGTTTTTTTTTACCATGTCATTTTGTTATGAATTATGACACTTGACATTTTATAGTGTTTTTGAATTAAATAAAATCCACATGTTATTTTCTTGTATTTATCAATTTTATTTATAAATATCATCTAATTATGTATTTATGAGGTTTTAAGAATACACCTTACTGCCGTTCAAAAAAAAAAAATACACCTTACTTTTAAATTTCAATTCCAACATTTAAATCAATTTTTCATTTATTTTTTTATTCGATATTATTAACCTAAAATTATGCTACTATTTGGCATTCAAATTCACATATATTTTATATTTTTCAAAATCTTTTCAGTGCATCTATATATATGTTATATGGATTTAAAAGTATGCTTCTAACATACTTTTTATTTTTGATATTTTCTTAGATTTTTTGTTCATTGTTTTCTTATTTCCAAATACAATTTGTTTAAACATCTTTTTAAGAATAATAAAATAATAGAAGTTATTAGCAAACAAAATTATTTCGTTATAAATATTTTAAATAAAACACTGGTATTAGTATGTGTGATTATAGTTTTTTTAAATTAAAATATATTTTTTATAGTGCGAAATGCCGATTGTATCATTAATCTTGAGTTACAAAAACATTGTTGATATTTTAATATTTACTTTTTGATATTTAACTTTTATTTTAATCAATCTATGTGATACACGGGTCTCATACATAGTAAAATTATAAAAGAGTCCATTTTTAACACGTGGCATCTCCTCAATTTATAAAATCTTGAAGCAAACTATCACTTATACACTTATAAAATATCCCCAGTTCTATCTCTGATCGGTTTATTCCCAAAATCATGCAGCTTATCTCCATTAATTTCGCTTCTTGATTTCAAAATTTGAAATTCTCAAATCTATCATGGAAAACTTTGATTCCCCTTTACACCATCCTTCTCGATCAAGATGATCAAATTTATACTCCTGGAATAAGCCTATGTCGGCGTTAACACAAAACCTAAATGGTAATTTGAAGAATGATGATGGTAATCGTTTCTTTCGTGCACCCATTTTTCTTTACTCGCCATTATCTGCCTTTGGCAATACACCCCTGACCCCTCATATGAGGAGTATAATATCTTAAAAATATTAATCTTATTGGTTCATTGTGATTACTATGATTGGCAGATGATATGAATATCGATCCTTATGATAAAGATGTTTGGATTTGTTATTTGAGATATGTTAGATGCAACATGATTTCTAGCCCTATTGAAAATACGAGATGTAACATCCTAAAAAATATAGTCCAAAAATTTCGTTTTTAATTCATTAATAAAACCATAAATCGTCCACCATCATAAAGAAAATCAAGAACTATGTATCTCAAAACATCATGTCAAATGTTGTATCAAAATCAAATGAGGAAATATCAGAGTCTAAAACGATCTCAGGCTGAAGCTGCGGTGTGTGCCATGCGATCATCTCGAGCCCTTCCCCTTGCTAGTAGAAGTACCTGAAACAAAAACGGAAGACTGTAAGCACGAAGCTTAGTAAGCTCCCCCAAACTACCACATGACATACAATAACACATAATAACACATATTAAGCCTCGCCCACTGCATCGGGCCCCGCCCGACATCGGGCCCCACCCAATATCGTGCCCCATCCGGCGTTGGACTGAAGTCTGGAATACATATCATAGAAACAGGCACATAAAACATAAACATATAACATATAACATATAAACATAATAGGCTTCCTCAGGCTCGCCCCGGCATCGGACCGAAGTCCGGTACACATAACATATAAGCTAATTCTGCATTAGGTTTACCCCGGCATCGAGCTTGCCCCGGAATACATAACACATAACATGCATGAATCACAAAGTCATTAAGCATACATATACTCTTCGTGGGACCGCCCCGACATCAGATCGAAGTCCGGAACATATAAGCTGCATCGGGCTAACCCTGGCTTTGGGCCTAAGCTCGGCATATACTAACATACATAAACGGGTCAGCATTGGTGCCTTCGACTCGTTCTTACTGAAAGGAAATTCACCTCGTAAAGCTGACTGCTGAAACTTGAGTGAAGAATCTCTAATTGCTGCTTCGGCGACTCCCCGGCTATCAACTAGATAATATATTTAATCAAAATCTGATAATCTTGATTGTTTTACCCTTGGTCAAAGTCAACGTCCTGGTCAAGGTCAAAGTCAACATCATGGTCAAAGTCACTTTTGGGTCAACTCACCAAGTTGGTCCACCAACTCGTCGAGTTTCA